GAGAGAGAGAGAGAGAGAGAGAGAGAGAGAGAGAGAGAGAGAGAGAGATGGAAGAGTTAACAAACGAATAAAGTTAACAAAAGAATAAAAGTTTGGGAGAAGAGAATAAATCAAGAGAGAAAAAAGAAGGTGGAAGACACACAAAGAGAAAGAACACATGAACACACAAAAGAAAGTGAATGCACATACCCAGCACATGTAGGAAATGATAGGTGGACTAAAACAACGAATCACTGAATACAGACAAATAAAATAAACATTAAGATATGTAACTAAACAATAACACAACTCATGAACATATGCACATGTACATACAAAGCATGTGTACATGTACATGTGGTTATGTCATTACATGTACATATGGTTTCCAGTGAGAAAAGAAGCAGACTGAAAGTAGGAATGAAGTAGGAAAAATAATTGAAAAACTACTAAAAAATACAAACACACATGCACATGTACATGCACATAAAACTAGATGTATTATAGATGCAGCATATACATGTACATGTATGTGTATATAAGTAGCTCTATTATTACATAAGCAACAATAACATGTAATACTTAGATTAGATAAGCATTCTCTCTCTCTCTCTCTTTCTTCCAAAAACCAAGTGCTGCATACATAACTAAACCTCAAAAAGCATAATTACATTTCTCCCAAACTAATTAAGTGAAAGAGAGGGAGGGGAAAGGGTGAGAAGGTCAAGGGGGATTCAAAAGGTGTTAAAAAGGGGCGTGTCCATTTCAAACCACACTGGGTATAATCAACGCCTCCTAGACACCTCATAATGATATTCATTGAGTGACAAAATGTATTTAATAATTAATTAGTCTACGACAAAACCACACACAGATATAGATATACAGTACATGTACATGGTTATAGTTTATAACTATAAGCTGGTTTATTCAGTAATGAAGGTACAGAAGAAAATCTACATGTACTGTACTTGTACATATACACTATAGAGCTTTCATAATAGGAGGAAGATAATGTACAGATACATAACTAACAATTAAACTCACAATTCAAACCTCATACATCCAATTACATGCTTACATGTAAACATTCAATTACATTTAATTACATGTAATTATTTTCCCGGTCCTTACCACTAGTGCAGTGATCAGTTCTTGTACTTGTTCTGCCACATCATGCGATATGTTGTTAGCAAACTTCTGGAGCGTGGTAAAGAACTGCTTCACCTTGGCACACTCTTTAGACCTCTTCCCTCCCTCCCCTCGTCCCTGACCGCCGGAAGAGGTGGAGCCAGTTGTTGCCATGGTAACAGAGCCACTAGTAGGCGGGGCTTTGATCGTCGAGGTCCTTTCCATGACGACGACATCTTCATCATCATCTTCCTCTCCCTCGATGACAATCTCTAAATCAATGGCCTCCTCGTCACTATCGTCTGAAGACTCCTGATCGGAGAGGGGTGGGGGTTGCTTTGAGGCTCCAACCACTTCTGAGACCGGGGGTGGGTCTGTTTCCATGGCAATGGCAGGACTTTCCTCCTCGGAATGAATATGAGGTTGACTGGTTAGAGTAGGAGGAAGAGAGGTAGGAGGAGGAGATTCCGTCACACCTGTCGACAGAGACGATGATTTGACGGGCGTACCAACGCCCCCCTCTTGAGTAGGGGGTTCGTCTCCATGGATACGAGAGGGGGAGGGTACAAGGACCAATTGGGGCGGGGGAGGACCGCTGTCACTGGCAGATGGTCGATCGGTCGCTTCGTTAATATTATCATCATCATCGAGAATCTCGCCTTCTTCTCTTTCACTATGAACCCCCTCCTCCTCCTCTTCAAAATGGCTGCTAGTGGAAACAGGTCCAGGTTCAGTAGTACTGGTATCTTTACCATCATTAGTCTCAACTTCATCCTCCTCCATTATTACTACAGTGTCTTCTTCTCCTCTCTCTCCTCCCTCCTCTAAAGTCTTACTAGTATCAATGGTGGGACTATGTGAGCCAGGAGTAGACATATTGTTAATAGTATAATATCACCAGCAGTCAATCCTATGTAATGTATATACTGTACTGCTAGTATCCTTATGTACAATAATCCTTAAGAGTGTATACACATGCACTGTACTACAGTACTTCCAACCAGTCCTTAAGTATATGTTCAATATCTCCTTATCCTTATTAGTATTGAGTGCTGTGCAGTCTGTGGTCTTGTCTATTGTATTGCAGTACTTATAGTGTGCGTGTGTGTGTGTATGATATGGTTCTGTAATTGGAGGGTTAGACAACAGATGGACACAATTAGGGAATGAGTAGCTAACAAGATTGTTGTTTATGAAAATATGATATCTATAAAAGGAATGAGAACAAGAAGAGAGAGAGAGAGGGGGAGAGGGAGAGAGAGATGTAATTTTAAGTGAAACGAAAAGTAAGTAAATTTAAAAAATATGAGGTGAGTATAGTTATCAGACATTTAAAATAAAACATCATCTCACAATCCAAAAACATGTCAGACCAATTCACATAAGAGAAGAAGGAAGGGAGAGAGAGAGGAGAGAGGGAGGGAGAAAGAGGGGGGAGGGAGGGAGGGAGGGAGGGAGAGAGGGAGGGAGGGAGGGAGGGAGAGAGGGAGGGAGGGAGAGGGAGAGAGAAAGAGAGGGTAAGAACTGAATGAATGAACAAAGAAATAGAAAAGAGAAGACAATAATGCTGAAACAATAACTTTATAAAATAAAACAATGATGTTGTACACAATACAAGATACATAATAATAATAATTTACAAAACACTCTAATGGATCAAGACAGCCATTGAAAGTAAACACACGCCTTCATCAATAAAGATAAGAGACTATCAATAATATTAAAAGATTATAAAACAAGTACGAACCGGATATGCATGTGCATGTACAGACTAGCCTCTATATAATGGACACTTTGGATCAAGAAAGTGTCTCTGTTATACAGAGGTGTCCTTTATGTGGAGGTTATTTTATACAGTAAGGAATGTAATTGGTACACTAGGTGCTGTCAGTTAAAAGGAGGTGTGGGATTATTAAGCAGGTGTTTTAAACTTCCTTATCTTCTATCAGTTCTATGATTTTATAAGCAGCTGTATATAAGGAGACAAATTGCCACAAAATACAGTTATAATTAATTTAAAATGCCTGGCTACTCAATTAATGAGTGACCTTTCAATAATTAACATCAATAAAATAAAATTTACAATAAATAAATAAATAATATTTATAAAAATAATAAAGCTCATTCTCTCCCAGTATATCAACAGTACAAAGGAGGGAGTAGATACTTTGGGGCTAAACGTATCACATTTCTAATAATTCTAATAATAATAAAATGCTACAAAAAGCTATTATTGTACATGTACATGTACATGAATTATATGCATCATGTATTATATGTATGTGTGTACATTATTACATGTACAGTATATTACTACTAATCTACTATACACATGTATGTATGTACATGTATACATGTACATATACATGTATACATGTACGCGCATATGTGCAGCATTTGACACAATGGAAGTGGAGTATATACAAGTAGTAGTGACTGGTGAGTGAAACCTTTAATGAATGAAAGAGCCAAGTAAAGGCTGAAAGAGACACTGAGTGAGTATCATATTAGTAAGTAGTAAAAGTAATTACAATGAAACCCGATGCAACAATGAGAGGAGGAAGAAAGGATTAAGGAAACCAGGATCATATGTACATGTACAGCCAGTAAGAGAGGGAGGGGGAGAGAAAGAGAGGGGCAGAGAGAGAGAGAGAGAAAGAGAGAGAGAGACAGAGACAGAGAGAGAAAGAGCTAGAGAGAGAGGAATAATGTTATACATAACACAGCTGTCATTAAATCAACATTCCATTTGCTGGTAGAAAACTTTAGACAATCATTAAACAGCAAATGACCACCACAAAACACACATACACACGTACATGTACATAACAGTAATAAATAAATATAAATAATATTTATTATTCTAAGTAATAAAGTATAGCCTCTCTTAATGGACACTCTCTATAGCGTACACCTCCATTTAACGGACAGCACCTAGTGTACCAATTACATTCCTTACTGTATAAAATAACCTCCACATAAAGGACACCTCTGTATAACAGAGGCACTTTCTTGATCCAAAGTGTCCATTATATAGAGGCTAGTCTGTACTCTTATGTAATAAAGTGTCCCATTATTTACTATTATACCTTTACAAACGAATACGGAGGATTACAGTATCAAAACAAAATACAAGAAACTACAATCTTATCAATCATACAATATACACGTACATATAAGCCACAATCTCTCATTAACAGAAATTAGAAAACCCAATATTATACATATACACATGTAGTTACACAACAAAATCCAATTAGTAGCTAACCTTTTTACTTATTTGAAAAAGGGATGAGGTTAATATCGAGATTAGAGCCACACTTTAAAACAAGGAACAGAGCCTGGACAAGACAGACAGCCTAGAGAAAGAAAGAGTATGAGATTGACTGACGAGGAAAAGACTTCTCTCTTCTTCTCTACCTACCAAGGTGTGATATTTATACTAGTCTAAAAGGCGCTTTTCGTAGGCTTTCGGTTTATAACTAGAACAAAGGGAAGTCAGTACTCCTCCAACCTTGGTTTTCAATGGAAGCCGTGAGCACATGAACAGTAGGAAAGGCCGCAGTGCTTTTTTGGAAAGTACAGCTAATCATCTTATCATAACATTTAATTTATATCCAATCACCTAGCACTAATTAAAGGGGTAGACATTGAAAGGTCCCGCCTAACCCCGCCCATATTTTCCGGGCAACCCCGCCTTTGTTTACTGCGCATGCTCAGTAGGGACGCTCTCGATAACAAGATCGCGATCTCAGAATACAAGATGACTTCCTACGCTAGAGAATTTGTGAGTGAAAAGGGAAGGAAATGCTGTGTGTTTTGTAAACAAAAGCCTGTAAACTTAGCAAACAATATAATTTTAAAAGTTTTAAATATCATTTCTATTATTAAGTTACATGTATGAGTGAACACAACTCAAAAGTGAACTAAGAATTTCATTGTTGCTAAGTCTAGTAACTATCATATACTATGATTTATTTGCTATATATTTCCATTATTATACTAGTCCCTTTATATTTTATGTATTTTTACTTATATACTGCAGGATTTAAGTACTTCATCATGTCACCCACAAAATGCAGACCCATACTGCAAGTGCACTAGCTGTCGTGAAGTTAGCAAAGCAATCTCGCAACTAACCGACCCAAAGAAGGACTACAGCTGTCCCTCAGACGTGAGACTTGGAGCTAGGGTACTGGTACGTGGGCGGTATGCCGGTAGCATAAGATACGTGGGGGACTTGGACAGTAATTTCGTTAACAGTAAAATATACATTGGAGTTAAACTAGATGATCCAGGTAAACTTAGGGAAATAGAGAGACTGTATTTATGTATTATTATTTTAGTTGAAATGAGTGTACAAATTTTTGTACCGCACATCTGCATATTGATGTTGAAACACTACATTTTTACAACATTTTTGGCAATAACAAAAATTTATGATGCTATTGGCCTATGTAAAATTAATGATATGCTATAATAATGACAATAATAATAATAATTGCACCGATTCAAAATTATTTTAATTCCATAGTTATAATTAATTGATTGTCCTTATGTACATGTAGTTGGTAAACATGATGGCCTTCATCATGGCAAGAGGTTTTTTAAGTGTCCTCCAAGACACGGAATATTTGTACCACTGGAACAAATACATGTGGTAAGACAGCATGTACATGTATACATACATGTACATGTACATACTCAGCCTAGTTTCTATTTATATCAGCCAATGACAATTTTTAATTTTAATTTTGCTAATTTTAATTGATTTGATATTCATAGACTGTTCCTGTTGGCAAAGGTAGTGGACTACATAAATCTAGGAAACAGAACTCGAGTCAAAAGCCAACATCATTATCAAAGTTAGTAAACATAATTAATACCATACATGATGTACATGTACTATTGAATGACTAAAAACCAGAGCATACGTGTACATGTGAGTATTATTAACAAAAAATGGAAGCATACTGTATAGTGGGAAATTTTGGAGGGGATTAAATTTGGCATTTTGATAGCCATTTGCCAAAATAAAAACCCACCATTTTGAGCCATTATACGCATGCTCAATGGCACGTGACCACAAATTCGCCAAATTAAAAACTGCCAATCACCAAAATTTAGCAATTCGTCAAAATTTAGCACCTCCAAATTTACCCGCTATATGGTATTGTTTTTGTATGAACAATAATTTTAACTATGTCCATTGTTATTGATTTCCTCATGCAGTGATCAAGTTAGTGTCATACCATTAGTTGGTTCTCAGCCCAGTACCAGTATCATCACTAACAGTACAGAGAGAGCTCATACTGTCTCAGGGGCTCGCCTACGTCAAAGAAGCTCCTCAACAATCGAAGCAAACACCTCAAACCTATTCATAGTCAAACCTGTGAGACCAAAGACTGCCGGGAAAAACCTTAAAAGAGACGGGGCTACGGCTCCGAGCCCATCAATACTTACTCCTCTATCGTCTGAGTTGATGCATTCATCGTATCAAAGTTCCTCCAATTATGAAGGAGATGAGGAGAAAGATGAAGATAGTGCAGAGAGCAGCAGTCTACCTAGTTTGACCAGATTGACTAAGTGTGAGCAGTCGGCATTGAAACTACCCCGTCCTCCAGCAGTAAGTACTTTATTTGCTAATAATTAATTTATTTTTTTGTTATCATAGAATTATGAATGTGTTTTTAATTTGAGAGCATAAAAGTTTACAATTTTTATTAACAACAAGCATTGAAATTGAATTAATTGTGCATGTACATGTGTACATGTACATTGCATTTACTTTTAGATTACTATATCAATTTACCATCATCAAAATCAGTTAAGCATTATTATGTACACATTATTATTTAATAATTACGTGCATGAATTATTATAATTTTATTTTAATTTTCCAATAACAGAATGAGATGAATACCGACGAATGGAAGAAAAACATAGAAGCAATAAAAGCTAATCCAACCACACCCAAACTCTACCTCACCCGCCCTCCATCGACAGCTGACAGAGAATGCTTTGCATTAGAAGGGAAGAAGAGAACAGATGAAAGAGACTTCATATCAAGAGCTAACAATCTACAACTGAAATCATCTTATACCTCGTAAGTAATGCATACTGATGCCCTTATGCTATACAGAAAGTTTGAGCTGATTTCAACTTCAATTTTTCAAGTTATGGCAGTTTTATAAAAATAGCCAATTAAAAAAAAAACCAAGGCTATAGCCCATGGGTTTTTCCAAAAAATGGCTCCGAAATCACCCCAAATTTTTATTACATTTTCTGATACATATTGATGTCCTTATGCTGTATAAAAAGTTTGAGCTGATTTCAACTTCAATTTTTCAAGTTATGGCAGTTTTATAAAAATAGCCAATTTTTGAAAAAAACCCAAGGCTATAGCCCATGGTTTTCTCAAAAAAATCGCTCGGAAATTATCCCAAATTTTTATTACATTTTCTGATACATAATGATGTCCTTATGCTTTGTAAATATTTTTGAAATCATTTTGAGCACTATTTCAAAGAATTTTTTCATAAAATATTTTTGGGGCATACCTGGAATTCCCCCTACATGTAAATGTACATTATGTACCCTGTGTCTGTATTGTCAATAAGTACTTTCCCTTGCAGGCGTTTGCTTTCTGGCCTACCTAAGTACGAGATGGTAGTACCATTCCTTCCTGAAGACCAGACCAGTGGAGATGTGGAACAGTTCAGCTATTGGTTGAAGAAGTGGGGAGGAGGGATCAAAGGATGGAAGATGGCAACTACACTACAGAAACTAAAGGACGCCAAGAGACAAGGAGACACTGAAATACAGTGGCAGGAGTAAGTGAATGCAATAAGAACATTGTATGCTTAGATGAACATTAATTTTAGATCATTTGTTAATACCGTATAGCACTTTATTTGGCAGCGCTTTATTTTGGTGATTTTGCTGTAAAATTGTAATTGGCGGTTTTTAATTTGGCAATTTTTGTGTACATGTGCATTACTGAGCATGCGCATTAATGATTGGCGGTTTTAATATTGGCAATTCTGCTTGCAAACTGCCAATTGCCAAAATAAAACTCCGCCAAAATAAAGCACTATATGGTAATTATAATTATTATTATAGACCTAGACAGATTAGAGTGGGCCTCGCTCATGCTTGCCCCAATTACTAGTACTATTAGTTGCTAATTTGCAAATGAGATAAAAACTATTAAAATGCACATTTACATGTACATGTACATCATAGTTATTGGAGCAATGCTATAAAAGCAGTAGTAACCACAAGTCTACATAAAGTTAAAATTAAACATAACCTGAGGCTAACCTCAATAATATTATTGCATTCATTAAAAGAGACAACCAATGAACACAATGGGCAGGACTGTGGTCCTATTGGTAATTGTAGCTTAAATTAGCTCACTGTAGTATAGCATAGCTAAATGAATATCAACATGAGAATAGCAACTGCATAAATGAAATAATTATTGTATGCAATGAAACTACACTGTATAGTTGCCTTGATATTGTTTGTTGTAACTCATAGCATTATAGTTGCTGTTTTATTTCCTGCAGGAAGATTGATGATCTTGAATCCGACGAAGAGTTTTCCAAGCAAGTAAAGCACATTAAGAAGCTTCAGTCAGAACTCTGTGAGCTTCGTGCTCACAGAGACAAGTATGAGAAAGAACTCCGTCTGAAAACCTTCACTCTCTCAAGCCATGGTAATGCAATGACAATGGAGAAAATGCAAGAATCAGTTCTAGACTATCAGAAGAAAGCATTGGTAAGTTGTATTAGAGATGAAAGCACTTTTATTGATATGGTACCATTGTGCTATAATATTAAATTGAAAGTTAGAATTGCATGCTTCAACTTAAAGTATGATGAAGAATTATTATGAACAATTGAATTTAGTGCAAAATAATTATTATTAACGATAAAAAGTAAAAGTTCATGGTTCATTTTTAACTGCATATTACATGCAGCAAGCAGTGTTTTGCCAGTAGTTGGGAAAGATATAAAATTAATGTACATGTACAAGTGGACTTTTACATCATTATAGATACATGTACATTGATACAATAACTGCAAATTGAATTTGAATTTTAAAATCCAATTAATTATAATTATAATTTTTTACCTGATAGGAAGAAGAGGAGGTGTGCGAGAAACTTGTTGATGTGATTAGAGCTCACAAAATGGCTTCACTCATAGATTCTGTAACACTGAACTGGCTCACATAAAAAGATTAATTATAATGTTCCCTCTGATTTAATTATTCTGTTAGAACTTACTTTTAAAAATGAACCAAAATTACATTATTTGTAATCTTCCGCTTAAATTAGTATACTTTAATGACAGTTTATGTCGTCATGTCATTGAAAATTTACTGAAATAAACGGAGCAACGTCTACGCATGCGCAGAAGGAAGAGGTAATAACAATTAATTAATGTTTAATTAGTTATTAATTAAAATGTATCTACCCGTACATGTACATTTCTGTGTATAAAAAGTGAGTCGAGTAGCATGGCAGGTTAGTTTCCTTACATGTATCTCCTCTTCTTACATCTCTAGACCTTACCAACCCTCCCTCTCTATCTCTAGGTCTAAGGTTGGACTTGGGGCGGGTCGACAAGGACCTGATATGTAAGTTAAAGGTCTCGGGAAAGAGAGAAAAGTCACTGAGTGGGGAGAGAAAAATAGGTTTTAGTTTATTTTTATAGTCCTTTATTAATAGAGAGATTATATATTAGGATCTGTGTTTAAGTAGAGTGTAGTGTAGTTTTTAAATGTTAATTACTGGCTTTGTATCAGTCTTTATGAAATTTAATAAATAAATTAATATCTAATTTTTATTTATATACATTTACACGTATACTTTGTTGTGGCGTCTATATAAAATATGCTATAAAAATATTTTAAATTATAAGAATAATTTAGTTAGATCTACATTGTGTACTGTAAATTATCTTAAATTATCTCCTTTCATTATTATTATTATTATTATTAATTATATTATTATTAGTATTAGTATTAATTATTATTGATTAATTTTATTTTTTATTAGCTAACGATTCTGATAGTGAACAGAATTTGGGGGTGGAGCCACACGAAATGGACCCATTAGGTGATTCGTACTCACCAGACGACCAGTTGAATCCTCTGGAGAAATTAGAGAAATATTTTCAATCAGAAGAAGCAATGGAAAGGTGGGAGAGAGAGGGGGAGGGTAAGAGAGAGGGAGAGAGAGAGAAAGGGGGGAGAGAGAGAGGAGAGAGAGATGAGAGAGAGAGGGGAGAGAGAGATGGAGAGAGAGAGAGGGAGGGAGGGAGAGGGAGGAGAGAGAGAGGGAGATGGAGAGAGAGAGAGGGGAGAGGGAGGGAGAGGGGGGAGGGACGGAGGGAGGAGAAAGGAATGTGAAGTTTTATAAGATTGATAAGATATAATAGAAATGAGAGAAAGAATATACTCTTTTATTATGACATTATTAAGGACACTATAAGTACAAAATAGACTATGTTATATAGCCTAGCCTCTCTTAATGGACACTCTCTATAGCGTACACCTCCATTTAATGGACAGCACCTAGTGTACCAATTACATTCCTTACTGTATAAAATAACCTCCACATAAAGGACACCTCTGTATAACAGAGACACTTTCTTGACCTAAAGTAACCTTTACATAGAAGCTAAAAATTATAATTATATTCATATTTACATTATACAAATATCACATTATGGTGTATTAACTGTACAGTCTTTTTAAATAATATTTGTCATTCCAATATCTCATCTACACCTAATATAGTATTTCATTACAATGTTACAATATGCTATATAAGGAAAAGGAATATTTACATGTATATGTACTATGCACTATGTACTATGTACATCCAGGTAATTATAATTGCTTATTGTTATAGTAGTATAGTTTATACTGTACATACAGTGTATAGTTAGTAGTATTGTAATGATAAACTGCCAAGATCTTTTTGATGTGTGATAACAAAATTAAGTCATCATTACCACATAGTACTAGTTAACAAGACTAGTTATTAATAGTTATTAATAGTTATTAATGGTTATTAATAGTTATTAATGGTTATTAATAGTTATTATAGTTTCTAATGGTTATTGTTTTATTTATTGGTGGTGGTTGTGTATTTTTAGCTTATCACTGTTTCTACTTTGTTGGCAGCTAGTGTTCTATAGTGTTTGATAATTAATAATAATAATAGTAATAGCAGCTGTTTATAATTATCTAATACCCTCTCTCTCTCTCTCTCTCTCCCTCTCTTTCTCCCTCCCCCCTCCCTCCCTCCCTCTCTCTCCCTCTCTCTTCCTCTATAGAGAGATAGCAGTGCGTAGTATGGTAGAAGCTGCTCACTTTGTTGATTCTTACTCAGACTATGAGATTATACTAGAAATAGTGTGTGCTATGGCCAGTGACCATGGTAAGTAATAAATAATAAATAAATAAATAAAATTAAGTGTATGGTATTAGGATAAAAGCAGACTCCATTAACCAATAATTAAATGTACATATGCAGTGTGTACATTATTACATTGACATGTCATGCATGTATTTCTATTTTGATATTTTTCTAACGTTAATATTCTTCCTATTTCACTTTATTGTATACATGTACATGTATACAATATTAACCTACATTACATGTACATGTAGATGTAACTATTTCCTAATTTTTGTTATTTTACTGCATTAACTTGATAATAATAACATACGTATTAGTTAAAGCACTGTTGAGAGTAGGTTACGGAAATTATTGCACGAGGGGCGGTCGAGAGGAAAATGTAGCACGAGGCAAAGCCGAGTGCTACATTTTCGTCGAGACCGTCCCGAGTGCAATAATTTCCGTAATCTACAAATCAACAGTGCTTTGATTGGTTTGTAGTGGTGCGTGGGCGGATGCAGTATTATATATTCCACACAGTGCTACATTTTCCTACCATGCGGTTATTGGAAGTTGTAGCACTGGCGGCGCCTTTGATCCGCCCACGCACCATACTACAAATGTACATGTATGCTATACTTGTTCATGTATATATTGTATACCAGTTTATTTTCGCGGTTAAATATATTTGCAAATTTCTTGGTTTTTTTGCTCTGTCATAAAATTTTTTCACCATGAAATTCTTGCATCTCCATTAATTGCCACGTGGTGCAGTTTGCAAGCTATTTGTGGAAATTAATTCCGTGAAATTTTAGAAATATAAAATTTGCGAAAAAATTTTACCGCGAAAATAAACCGGTATATGGTACATTTGTACATGTATAATAAACTACATGTACATGTATAATTATTTAAATTTTTTCTTCCTCTCTCACCCTCCCTCCAGAGCCGATGATAAGGATTGGTGTACTAGGTACAGTAATGAATCTCATTGAGAGGAACTCTCAGTTCAGGGATGCTCCTAATATAGAGACAACATTCTCACAAGAGAACGAGGACAGGATCTACGAGATACCTGTGAAAATGTTAAACGATTTTAATCAACAGGTATGGGTTTACTGAGATATACTGGATTTTACTGAGTTTTACTGTGTTTTACATGTAGGTGAGACGCATAAGTCATAATACGATTGTGATGCTATTAGAAGATCCAAAGAGTTCAACCAGTGAGTCTCAGTAATCTCTTGTGTATACTTCAGGATATTAATAGTAAATTAACTAGGTACTAGATACAATGTGAGTGTAGAATTTTTATGGAGCAACCTTAGTAACGTTATACATGTACATTGTATTTAAGCTTTGCTTTGCACACTTGCAAATTCAACTTTTGACAATTTGTACTAATATCACAAATAAGTACATGTATGTCCATATACCCACACTAGACTACATGTAAAAGAATTTGTTAATCTGGAAGACAGAAATACATAATGAACAAAATGACGCTACAACCGCCTAAAACACCAATGGCTCCTATATTCGAATTCCTCTGAAATAACTGTTCATTTTCACTTTCTTGCTGGCTACGTGTATTTTGAACAGCAGATGAACCATCAGTATTCATATTTTGAGATGAACCATCATTATTAGTATTTTGATTGGGCCCGGCAGATAAATCATCAGTATTTTCATTGGGCCAAGGAACTTCTTGTACTTGATCATCACCTGAAGGTTGGCAGGGGCGTAGGCAGGATTTTTGGAAAGAGGGGGCAAGCTATGCGGCACGCGAAGCGCGCTGCGAAATTTTGTGAAACCACACTCTTTTGTGGTGTGACCACACCTATTTTTCAATATGGCGGACTTAAAGAAAGATCATAGGCAACGTTAAATACCTTTTCAGCTTTATAATGGCATCATAGAAGGACTCATTTAGCCTTTTCCTTTCATATGTAAGTTGTAGAACAGCTTTTCCTTCCAAAAGTAGCTTATTATTTTGTTAATTTAAAATTTTGATTTAAGAAAAGGGGGGGCATTTGCCCCCCTGGCTACGTCCCTGGTTGGATACAGCTAAGTGAACTATGAGTATTAAAATTTGCTATCTCTTGTGAGAGCAAATTAAACACTATACTTATTAATACAGGTGCTCTATTACCTTCTTCATTGGCTATCTCTCTAACCCTTTCCCACTCTCCTTCTGTAAGATTATTATGCCTTCCTTGAATCACCTTGTAAAAAGCCTCTCCAGCCATTTTTCTATCCAGTCAGAGATATTGTGTTGTCAACTTGTCACTATTGTGGTCAATCCACAATCCACATGGCAGTAGAATAACTATGAATAACATTACCTCCATTTATGGTATCCACCTACACACACAATAATTTTATTCATAGCAGTCAGCTTCCTTGCTCTAACTAAAAAAAATATGGAGCTTGTAAACAATACTCTTGTAGTGATTTTTAAAACCTGGTTCCCATTAACTGCATGTACAGCTAGAAATATTGGCAGTGTTTGATGAGTTACTACAAAATCTGCCATTTTCGTTCGCTCTGATCATGCTCAGTGACACCAGACCAATTACATGTACATGTACATTAATAAAACAGCCAAAAACTTGTACTTGTAAAACTTGTAAAACATGTACTTTATGTAAAATTGTTTTAACTCATAGTGGCCCCAATTAAATAATTTAATTTCAGATAGTTTGGTATTATATTCCAAGCGGCTGTTTCCACTTCCGGTCAAACTCATATACAGTACACGTAGTATACAATGTACCTGTGTAATTTTACATGTACAATGCTTGTAGTTGAACTTTGCTTTGCACGCTTGCAATTTCACACTTTGTATTAAATATTATTGAAACAATTATTAATGTCACAAATAACTATGCACACACCCACACTCAATACACACTAAAGTATAATACATGTACATGTTATCAAGAAGAGGTCGTTAATCTTCTTCAAAATAGAAGTAGGCAATCAGTCTTACAATGAGCATTCCAACACTAGTAGCTGCTATTGCTACAGTTAGGCCTGTCTCTGCAACTTCTCCAACTGATGCTCTTCTTGTTTTTCGATTATGAAGTTCCTTTTTGTCTAGAATTTTCTGTTTACCTGTACTTTGAACACTATGATGATCATTGATATTTTCATTGCATCCAGCAACGTGTTATAGATCATCAGGTACAGGTTGGATACAGCCAAGAGCATTAAACCTTTCTATTGTCTGTGAGAGCAAATTCAACATTATACTTATTCCATTGGATAATGCAGGTGCTGCATTATCCGCCTTTTTCTCATTTTGAATTATATCCTTCAGTCGTTTCATTAAGGTTTTGGCCCAAATAAGACGACTTTCTTGATCAGCTGGTTTTATTTTATTATTTGGATAAAAAACAATTTTTTCTGTAATCTTGGCAATTTCTGATCCTTCAACATTCATTGACTCCAACTTTACTGCAATACTGTCCTTCCAATCATGTTCTATCCTCTTGATTTGAATAGATTCTTCTGAAGTTGAATCAGACTCCTGATAAGTTGAATCACATTTTGTGATGACAACAATGACATTCTGCCACATACCCAAAGAGTCGCATACGTCAAATGCTATTTGTGTATTAATATCATCTATCCTATCTTCCCAGCCTATGCACAGGAATACATTACAGTGCCTGCTTTGTTCGCAGACTTCTTTGGCTTCACGTTTCATTTCATCCAGGTCAACTTGAATACTGCCCTGACCAACAGTATCATGAACAAAGTAGGCTTTCTTTGTGCTGGATTTTGTTGAAGATTCTTTTTCCATTTTCTCTGTTTTAATATACTTCCATTGTCCAGGAATGTCACTGCTCTTTGTTCCCCCACTAGGTCCAGAGCTGCCCTTGATTTTTCCTTCTGTGAGTTCTCCAGCAAAAGTTGATTTTCCAACCGCAGGCCTTCCTAGTAGCAACAGATGTAGATCTTCATTTATATCTGCTTCTTTGGCTATCTCTCTAACCGTTTTCTTCTGTTCATCTGTAAGATTATTGTGCCTTTCCTCAATCTCTCTGAGAAAAGCTTCCCCAGCCATTTCTTTCCAGTTAAACAAAATATGGGTGGTCCTATATTAGGCCACCCAGAAGTGAGATTTAGAAAGGCTATGAATTTCATTAATACAATATCCGCCCATACCTATTAATGAAATACATATACATGTAATAATACTTAATGCATATTAATATGGTGCATATGTACACACCATAATTTGGTGCTTTTGGTTGGCTGGAGCATCATAGGCTATAGAGACACATTGTTCTTGGTCTTGTTCTTTGCTCTAGTAAAAGCTACAGCTGGAAGTATTGGCAGTGTTCTATTGTGGTACTTAAGAAGCAGCTGTAGCTTTATAGTTTATACTGTATAGTGGGAAATTTTGGAGGGAGTAAAATTTGGTGAATTGTGACCATAATTGACAAAAGGTACCTTATGGCGGATTTTTAAATTCATCTTTATAATGAAAAATATCAACCTGTGAGTGTTCTATTCGACAACCATTGTTTCTAAAAGTTACATTGTAACTTTTTGCATCCTCTGGAGTAATTTCATGATAAATGGAGCTCAGGAAGTTGGATTTTTAAGGCTATAAAGACCAATTTTCCTATCTGCCATAAGGTACCTTTTGTCAATTATGGTCACAATTGTTAAATTTTAGTGATTGGTGAATTTGTGGCCACGTGCCGTTGAGCATGCGTATAATGGCTTTATACTCTAATATTTATGCCTATACTAAGAGATGTTCAAATTTTGGGTTGTCTATTAGATTTAGACTATACCACCTAAAGTGAGAATTAGAAAAAGGCTATAAATTTTATCAATACAGTAGTATCCGCCCATACATATACATGTTAGTGAAACACATATAATATGCATGTAACTTAATTCATATTAATGTGGTGCGTACACACCACAATTTGGTACTTTTGTTTGGCTAGTGGAGCATAGACTATAGAGACATGTTGTTATTGGTCTTGTTCTCTACCCCAGCTCTACTAAAAGCTACAGCTGAAAGTATTGGCAATGTTCTAAGTTACTGCCGATATGAAGTGTGCCATTTTAGTTTACTCTGAGCAAGCTCAGTGACACCAGGCCAATATAAGGCAGTTATATGTACAAAATAGCCAAAAATAACACACTCTTTAAGTGTACATGTATATACATGCATGTATGTGAAGTAAATGTGCATACTTTTGTATGTACATTTACATGTACTTAAAATAATTTTGATTCAGTGTGGTCCAAATTAAATAATTTAATTACAGACAGTTTGGCGTCCCAGTTTTGTCATTTTCTGTCTACTTTTGCAGGTATAAAATTTTGCGATTTGGCTGCATTTTTGTATTTGTGAATAAATTTTTTTTTTGCGATTTTAATGTAATTATCACACCTACTATATAATCAGCACGCTATTTTTTGGAAGTTAATTTTGCAAATTTTTCTAAAATGCAAAAATCGCAAAAAATTTAATCCCCGCGAAATATATGCTGTATACGGTATTGTGAAGTACATGTACATGCTTTTGCGTGTACACCATTGTTCTGCCTATGGTGGTCGGGGGTGGTCGGGACAACCACCTCAACAACTGAACCAACCAGTTCATCACTTAGACCAACCATCCAATTAATACTAGTAACCATACATAAAGCATGATATTGTGGTCTACTAGTATGGTGTACACAAATTTAAAAGGAACAATATTAGTCTCCAACCACCTTTAATTTTTTCTTGGCAGAACCCTGTACATGTACATGTACCATACTTTATGCAAAACCAGAGTGGCCCCAATTAGTATGTTAAGTTCTTTTAGTTTGTATTATGTACATGTATGTCTGGGCGTGGTGAGAGGTTGGAACTAGTTAATGATTTACATTCTTCTATATGTTGTACATGTAGTTAATTATTATAAATTTAATTTCAGATAGTTTGGTGTCCCAGTTGTGTCCGATGGTGAGGAAGTGTCTTGGGAAAGAAGAAACCTATGACCTAAGAATGGACACTGTAATGGTACGATATATAATTAATGGGTGTGGTCACCAAGTGGGTGTGTCTTTATTTTATAGCTAATTGGTCGAGTAGCATCATTTCTCGGTCAAGAAATTTGTGTGTCCGAGTTTGTTCCTCAGTTACCAGCTTTAGCATCTGACGCCATGTTCCATGTGAGAAAGGTAGTGTTTGTGCATCTCAGTATACTCTTGGATACTACCTCTGTATATTTTAGTCCTTTGCTATATGCTGTAAAGACTTGTGTTCAGTAATAGGGCCAGCATCTACTGAGGAAGTTATTGTGAGTATATTTTATAGAGTTTATATGTACAAGTATATTTGGTTTGTACATGAGTAGTACAGTCCATGTATAAAATAGATTATGTTTTGTTTTTTTCTCCATACAATCTACTGTACAGCTGCCAATTGGAGAAACCCCCAAGCAAAAATCATGCCAACATTTTATATTGTATATCCAGTAACTACATGTATATGTCTTCATTTTTTACTCCCTCTCTCTCCCCCTCTCCCTTCCACCCCTCTCTCTCTCTCTCTCTCTCTCTCTCTCTCTCTC